AGGAAATGAAACAGTGAGAAACCTTTTATTTGGATTTAACTGGTGAGCTGGGCAGAGACGTGTGAAAGTACACGGATCTTAATTGTGGCAGGCAATTCTTACTTTAAAAACTGATTTTCTCTGAACAGTTCTTCTCCGTGTGAGTCCTCAACATACACTGACAAGAGCAGTTCTGGCTTTTGGAGCAGATTCAGCAGAACCATGGAAGGGCAAATCTTTGATTTTCAGCCCTGAACGTCACTGATAATTATCTGTCTTGGATGAACATTTTATTACCTCTGGACCAGAGGCAGATTTTGACTTCCAAGTATGTTACAGGAAACGGTACCAGGGGAAAGAGAAAAGAATAAATAGGGAGAAACAGCGGAGGGAGGAAAAGCAAAGGCGAGAGCAGGCAAGAAGAGAAAGAGAAAGCACAAAGTCTAGGTTGTATTACATTACTTTTGCATCTTTCTTTTTTAACCTAGGCAAACATCTCATTAATTCTACATTTAGAATCTAATTCTGAGGACGAAAGTAAACTGCACTTTCCCAGCTTTTTATCTCCACTTCTACCAGTGGCAGCTTTGCAAGAGGATGAAGTATTTTATGCAATTAAACATCCTATGTGCTAATGGGCCTCACCATGAAAACCTCAGTAACTCGAAGTGGAGACGGACACAGGGTATACAAAGGCGGGACTCTGAGTAAACAACCCAGGGTCACAATGGACAGACTTCTGGACGTGGGTCTGACACTGCTTTGTGGTGCATCAGAAAGCGTCGGAGTCAGTACAGGGGCACAGCACAGGCGCAGACAAAGGGGCCCCTGCTTCTGTGTCCTGTGCACGTCAGTACAGTGGGCAGCTGGATGGTGTTCTGTACGGGCTCAAGCCAGGAAAACAGAGACTGAGTTTGGACTTAATATCAGCAGACAGTTACAGAGATCAGAGTGAAAAGCAGAATGCATTTATCGTACTTTTCTCCAAAAGGGGAAGCCTACACAGTAGAACTTAATGACTTGTGTTGCAGAGCCTGTCCCCGAGGCTTCCTGTCGGCTCCAAAATGCGGGTCATTTCTTGGAGAGCTTTCATGTCAGTTTTCGGTACCACATCTTGGGCCAAAACGCTATGCACATCTTCAGATCTCCAAGAGTTCTTTACACTCAGGCTTTTAGAGCAGGTTTAACTGCTTCAGTCTGTAGCACCAGCTTTACGGGAAGCTCCGCTAGCTCCGCTGGTGATGTATTTGAATACAAACCACACTCACACATCTATGTAACTTTCTAGCAGCCCTTTGACCACCTACTATTCTCATTTTCCAGGTGAGGTTATTGAGGCTCAAAGAGATTGTTCTGTGGAAGATGACTTATCTATGCAACATGCAGCAATGACAGAGACAGAACTTGGAATGAGTTTTTAAAATTATTATTTGTAAAGGGATGCAGAGGAATTTCTATTTTAAACAAATAACTTTTAAAAACTAAAAATGGGTCAGCTTTTTGTTGTTCATTCTGGAATAGATTGTAAGCTCAACTCTAGCCCTGTCTCCGGTCCCAATGTTCACAGCACATGGTGTCTGCATTTTATTTGAAGGTGGACGAAAAAATACTCTCCTGGAAGTTAAAAATCAATGCAATGAAATATAAATTTCCAAGGATAGGATAAAAGGGAATAAGATCTGATATACGGGAGGAAAAATGAGAAACAAACATATTCTTTATTCAGAGCCCTGCTAAGAAAAATAAACTCATCTAGCTATTAATATAGGTCCTTTAAACTCTAATTAAATCTATTTTAAGGGGTTTCAGATGACCGCATGACACTGCAGTCATCTTACCTACACAATTAATTCTGAGGTCAGCTGCTTATTTAAATGGCCACAACATGACAAAAAGATCTGTGGGAGTGTGTGTAATGTCTTAAAAATTAAGAGTCAGGAAAAAGAATATAATCAGATATTGTTTCTCTACATGTTAGTGTTTAGTTTGTAATTCAGTTTTAAGAAATCAGGAAATAAAACATAGAATTAGACCATATAAGTAGCAAATGAACTTTGCAGAGATACAACTACAGCAATCGAGTCATATTTAAGCCAGATTCTGAAACCATTCTTCCTGAAAATGACATCAATTTAAATGGTGATTTTGATTTTAGCAGCTGATTAAAACTATTTCAGTCAGGAGTTTATGCCACTGAGCTGTTTTGCCCTGAAGTGAAAGTAATGGTCCGGATTCAATTTAAATTTTGCTGGCAAACTCGCTGTTCAGCATTACTTCAATGTGAAAATACTGGTGAAGGTTTAACAACTCAGGACATACATTCTGAGACGGTGCTGAATACAACTGAAGGCAAGGAGAAGATGAAGAGGCAGTAACTCATTGACCGCAATCTGGTTAAAAGTAGATGACCCCTCCAAGTCAGGCGCAAAACTGCCTTGTGCCCTGTCGCCCAAGCCTCTTCTTGCACAAAGAGCAGAGAAAGCCTAACAATCTGGCTCAAAAAGATTAACTGGAAGCCTTGCCAGGGGAAGGGATATTAGTAATAACCAAAGAGCAGAAAATAAACTGCACATAGAGGAGAGGATATTAGCAGTAAAAAGATCAGAATGACAGAGAAGCACAGCTTCAGGAATGCAGAATCTGAATCAGACAGCACTGCCTCTCGGAGTTACATATCTATCCACGTAGGCAGGAGAAGGAATGGAGCACACTAGGCAGGAACTGTTTCTTCTACTGTGTGCTGGAGAGGAGTGCCGGAGGGAGGCTGGCAGCACGCTCTCCCACCAAATGGGAAGGGAAGGGAGAAGCGGTTGCCTGGAGACGGTCAGGTGACAGTGCATCAGAGCTGCAGAAGTGGCAGTCTTCCGGGACACCAAATGGCTCTTTTCTTCCTAGGCTGGGGCTAAGATGGGCCCTGACATTGTCCAAAAACTAGAGGTTAAGGTAAAGGAGACTTTTAGCAGAGGCAGTGGCAGCCTCTACTACAACAACAGCAATGCAAAGCTAAAAGATATTTTTGAGCAAAGGTAAAAGCACATCCTTTTATCTAGATGAAAAGAATGCTGCAATGATGTGCCAATGCTGGCAGAAATACTTTCAGGGGGAGGGAGGGACTCACTGAGGCTCTACCATGGGGAAGAATTTGTTTATCTATGCACAAAACAATCCTACCATTCATCTACAAGGGAAAGAATTAAAAGACAGCTCTTGTAAAATCAGAGTCCCACAGCTAACCAAAAGGGCATACCATAGACGACACTTAGCTTTCTCCTGCAGGATAATTTTTCCCCCTACACCCATGAATTCTTTGAGCTCAATGCTGAATCCTAAACTGCCTGGAAAAGTTTGAATTCCACATTACAGTCACGTGCATAACTTGTCTCCAATATTACCCTGACCACCACTTGCTTTCTCTGTACAAGGAAATCAGAAGCATATTGTTTTCAGAGGTACAATTTTCCCATTTGCAAACGAGGCACCTGATGAGATAACAGCAGCCAGGCCATGCAGCGGTCACTCGGCTGAGCTGACCCTGGTGTGTGACCAACATCATGTGACCAGAGCCCATATCCCCTGGGGATGCGGTAAAACTCTCGTGTCACTTACACTCCCTGACTCTAATGCTCAAAGGAGCTTCTATGCCTAGCTTCTGTGCAGCAGTTATAAAGGAATATCCATAACATTTTCTAAAAATGAAAGGAAACATGTTTAAAATCACAAAAGAAGCATATGGGACTAATTTCCATCACTATATTTTTCTTGGATTTTTGTCTCATTTAAGGGAAAGGAAAGTGGTAGGAGGAATACATAGCATTTTTTATATCTTTTTTTTTTTTTATAAAGCTGCATCAGAATAGCCTGGTTCTTCTAGGCTGCTGAGCACAGTCCTTTGATATTGTTTTCCCTTCCAGTAGCTTTAACTCTCCTAAGGGCAATTCCTGTCCACTGTCTATCTTTGCACTCAGCACAGAGTCTGGGACATGGTGGAGACACTGTAACTGGGTGGTAAAATTAAACCCACACTGAGCCACCAACAGCACACCTGGCCTCTCCTTTGCTTCTCTGCCCCTGATGGGTACAGTTCTGAGCTTGCACTTTATCTTCTAGTGCCCACAGCCTGGATCTGTTCCTCAACCTCCACTGCAGGCACAGAACCCCCGGTTCTGACCCACTGCTTTTCTCTCAGGCCCTGACCGCACCACATAGTTCTCTGGTTGCGCTGCCGCAGAGCAATGTGATCCTCCAACTCATCCCCAGTGAAGGTACTGCCCTACTTCCATCTCATCTCTGAGCCCCCAGGAGCTAGGTTCCAAGCCATATGAAGAAAAACCAGAATGAAGAGAGGACTCCCTCATTCCGGAAACCTCCCACAGGGGCGTGAAAGGTGAGAAAAGCAAGCGCCACTCTGCTAATGGCTTTCTCCAAGTGCCTACGTAGAAACTGTTGCGTAAGAATGAGGGTATAACTTGGCCTTTTGCAAGGGGGAAAAAAAGACAAAGTAAGTTCAAAACAGTACTTCTGATGGGTGACACCCACCACACACTCACAAGCACTAAACGGGGCTCTTTCTCCACCATGGCCTAAGGTTCTCCTCTCCTCCCTCCCAGGACCCTCCCCTTAGCCCCCAGCTTGCTTAACACACAGTGGCTCAGGTGCAGAGAGGAGGCAGGAAGGGCCTCACATTGGAAACCATCTATTCTGACTGCTTCTCAGAGATTCACTAGATACTTTCAAGCCGCATTTAAATCATGGAGCAGACAGCAACTGAGTGCAGTAGAGGTCCAGCCTAGAAGGACAGATGTCAAGTGTAGAAAACCATCTTGTGTGGATGGTGGTAGGCCCCATCTTTCATAAGCACATTCTAATAACCAATCACACATTACTTTTAACCGATGTTAGTCTTTTATTAAACTATACCCGATTTAAGGGTAATATAGAACCATCTACTAAATAGTTGCTTGCAAGAATCATGCAGCTCCCGAAAACCCAAACCTTGGTAGTGTTCACACAACAGCACTTACGGGGTTGACTGATGCTGTCTCCTGAATTACCAGTCATTCCCTGGGCCTTTCTTGTCACCAGGGTTCAGTCCTCTGTCTTCTTTCATGTCTTTAATGCTCAGTTAAGAAACATATTTTGTTTTTGCAAGGAGATTGGGATGGGGTGGGGAAAAGGAACAACTGACTTCAATCTCATCTCCAATTTCTTTTACTTTCTAAAAGTGCACTTTAACATGACAGCCAGGCTTAAACTACTTTTAAAGGCTGATTACTTGACCTGGAATAAAAATAAGCCGTATCAGATACATGCGGATACACCATTAAAGTGAAGCGGCCATTATCTTTTCTGCATTAACAGAAGAGCAGAACGCCATCTCCTGTCATTTGTCCAGTAAATCAGGTTGAATTATTCATTAGCACTAAACGTTTCCAAACCATCGCCTCTCCCATCCATACCATTACCTCATTTTAAGCCAGTGGTTTTATCTCCTCTAAAAATAACTCTGATGCATTGAGATCCTAAAGTTTTGGATTTTGTAAAAATTAATTTCTGTGGTGAGTAAAGCTCACAGTCTGGAGAGTAAAATCAAACAGGAAAGACAATAAACAAGCAATTAGAGAGCATCTCCTAGGTCACTTGCCACTTCTACCATTTGTCACTGAATGCAGAACCCGGGTGCTGGATAATTCTCAGGACCTTGATGGAACAAAGGATGACTCTGTAAAATCTTCAGAAATAGTGCTTCCGAAGTATTGCATTTGGTCAGAGGAAGGCAGGTCCTAAAATCCTTTCACAAGAGTCCATCTCAAAATATAGCTTTACATTTATACAATTCAGGCTTAACAGATAGGCACAGGTAAGGCCAGGTACATTCAGGCCTCTAACTATACGCAAATATGTACCATCTGGGAGAGGGAGACAGAGACACGGGGTGGGGGGTAACAGGAGCTCATCAGCCACATCACAAAGCGAAGACATACGGTTGCTATCACCATTTACAGCACCATTTGTTTCATTGAAGAAAGAGTGCTTAGTCCATGGACTTAAATTGCATACTGGGAACAGGACTCTGGAGTTCGGGGTACATATTTATGCTCCCATCTCCTCACTTTGTCAGAAGAGAAATCACTTTGAGTCAACTTACGGGACAAACTGTTTCCATTTTCAGTGGCAAGAGCTGAGCTCTACGAATGGTAACTTAGCTTCAGGGACTTGTGAGCAATCTCGTTTCCAATCAGGCTATACCTTTGAGATTATTCCTCCTTCATTTGGGGTTAGAAACTCAGCCATGACCTGAGCTCATATTTACTTCTGAAAGATGAAAACAGGATTTCTGAAGTACAACAAGAGAAGGAAGACCTTATTATCCTAACAGTGGACACCAGCATTCCTCTTAGGAAGAAAACCAGCTTTGGTTGAAAAAGCACCTGGATTACAGAGTTTTATTTATTGGTTCAAGATCTGCAGACACCAGCAGGGCAGACCTGACAGGAGACAAAGAGTGGCATTTCTAGGACAATCTAGGAGGCAGCAGTGAGGAGAGGGAGAGGCAAGGGAGCACCTAACTGTGGTGCTACAAACTAATTCCCAAGACTTCCTGGGCTGCTCCACCCCGGCCACATTTAGTCAAGCCTACAAAACCAAGAAAGATTTGAAATAAGTTTCTTTTCTCTAACTTTTAAAAAGTTGTTACTCTAGAAACTAGAGTAAATTGTGTACTTTATCGTGTGAACCATCTAATCATTCAAATGCTAGGTGCGATCCTCAGTGGGTGAGAATGTGCTCCCAACTTCCCTCCAAAACTGACACAGCGTGGGAAGATCTTTAATTCTAACAGGCAGTTTAACTTCAAACTTGGATTTCCTTAAGCTTCAACATAAGACCTGGCTTACCCAAAGTACATAACTCAGTGAGGATGAAGAGGGAACCCTGAACAGAACGGAAGAATGACACTTGCATTTTGAAGATGCTCTTTTTAGAACTGTACTATCAAGGACCGGAGGGGCCCATTCCTGAAGGGGTTCACTGCTACTGGGGGACACCAAGTGGACTCAGATGACTACAAAGCAAGGCAGAATATGAAGTGTGGGACTAGAGATGGGGCAGAGAGCATGGCCTGTTTGAGGGAGGATAAGAAACGGAGGTGTCAGGGACTATTTTGAGGAGATATTAGGATATAACTGCCACTTTTAGGGGCAAAAATAGTGGTAGGTAGGAAAGAAATCATTTTATTAATGCTTATGTGATCTTGACATCTCCCATACTGGACTGGAGGATCATAAAATGTCTCCTAAATTCCTGTGTCTGTCTCCCATCTCTGGAGTGATTAGTTCAGTGTCTTGGGCATAACAGTTCCTTAAAATGAACAAGTGATCCCCAGGACGACACCCGGCATAAACACAAACAGAGGCAAGGGGCGCTGAAGCACTGGAAGCCAGCTGGCTCGCCTGGGGGAGCACTGGAGAGCAACACGCGGCAAGGGTCAGGGGTCTAAAAGGGAATGGCCACATCTTCTGTGGGCAGTGCGGAGTGACAAGAGAGAATTTTGCCAAGGCAATAGAGGTCAAGGTACAATTCAGACCAGCTCATCCCAAAGTAGAGTAGGAACACGTTTTCTGGCAGGGAACCCTGGCAGAAGGCATTTTGAAAGTCTCCTTAGAAGCAAAGCCACAAAGGTTCACCTTGGGACAGGAGCAAGAGTTAGAATGAAGAAAAGTGAGCCACTGTGTATTCACGGAGGTTTCTTCCAGTCACTTTCACAGATATTTATCCACCACCTTCTGGGCACTGTGGCAAAGGCAGTCACACCTGATTCGCGCCAAACCATTCTTACTGGCTATACGTGAGATAAGAGTTGCAAGAGAGAAGGAATTTTTAAAACTATTTTTCCTTCATAATCGTGTACTACAATAAGTCACTTTTATGATTTTGAAGGGGGAAACCAAGAATGTATAAATCTTACAAAAGGTGTTACATTGCAAATGAACAGTGCACAGACCACTGGACTTGGGTGCCAGGCAAAGGATTTCTCTGGGTGAGGGAGGACCCGTCTGCACCTCCCTGTTCCAGCACCTGCTGGAGCCACAAAAGTGATAAGCTCTTAGTTTGTGGCTCTGAATACAGCACCAAGTAATAAAGCCATGTTGCAATTTAAAATGTTACACTTTCCAAGCTTCTCATTAAACCAAACTAATATCTCTCTCAATAATTCTGAATTAGTAAGGTCAGATAACATTGGGATTAAAAGCAATTATGGAGTGAGGGAATCTTCCCAGTTTCCTGTAATTACTGTGCCAGACCAGGATCCTGGGAATGCTCACGCCTAAGACTAATTTAGGAAGCTCTGAGAAATGCTCATATTTGGGGGCCATCTGAGGCCTCATCTCTCTTGTTGTGTGCAACTGCCACCAGTCCATGTAGCACATAGCCAAGTGCAATTCACAATGAGTCCTCATTTCTACAGCTGCAAAGCCTAGGAGAATTTAGCAAAACATGGCATGCCTTCCCTGACTCTGCCATGTTGCATGAATTCTACGTATGCATTATGTCTAGCAAATGCAGACTGCATTCTGTCCTGCACATCTCCTCAGTATCCACCAGGAGCTCCGTCAGTAGGTTCTGCCGGTGTCCCTTCATAACAGAGCATCTTTGATGCTTAAATCTTGGCAGAAATAGCATCGGATATTTTTAAACAAAGTGTAAAGGGACACACGGCTTCTGAGCTAGTATTGGCTGACATGCAGCATTCAGGCTGGGGCTGTTACCAGGATTTCACTAGGGACTGACATCCCCACAAAATCAGCTGTGGATTATATCATTAGGCTCCAGGTATTCCGATACAGAAGTGGCCCTATACAATGCTCACTGGAAGTTACATTCTTCCAATGAATTAATTACACAGCATGCTATTTGTTTATGGATAGCTGAAGTATGCACTATGTGTACAGGGTGTGTGTGTGTGTGTTTGCAATCTAGAGATTTACTTCTTGCTTTTACCTCTCTCATGAAATAGGGATATTAATGGTTTAAATAGATGTGTAAAAAACGTCATTGTAATCTCAGGATAAGAGCATTACCTGCAATACCAGTGTGACTCTGAGTAGGGGCGCTGGCCTGTTGTGAATAAACCTGCTTGCCATGGGGCCACCTCACAGGGACGAGCCCGCGGCTAACATCATTGTAATCTCAGGATAAGAGCATTACCTGCAATACCAGTGTGACTCTGAGTAGGGACGCTGGCCTGTTGTGAATAAACCTGCTTGCCATGGGGCCACCTCACAGGGACGAGCCCGCGGCTGACTCAAGACCACAGTACCTCTAGTTACTTAATTACCATCGTCCTTAACAGACAGAGAAGAAGGAGTGTATTGTGATTATAGAAACTGTTCAAAAGCAATCCACAACAAATTCCCTTTCAATGCAGAGAACATTGTTGGCACTGTGTGTAAGAGTTCCCAATATTCAGGTTTGGGTTTTTAACAGACCGAGGGAATCATTTAGTTTGGTCAATTCCCAATTATACTGCATGACTTAGGGGAAGAGTTCACTCCTCAGGGAAGCCTGCCTGAGACTCCTCTTTTCCAGGCCCATATTTCGGGATGTGGGCAGGACATCTGTGGATATGTGAAATGTGTCATCCCTACTATAACTGAGTAATTTATAAATGATGGAATAGATACATTTCCATAAGTATCCCGGTGTGTGTGTGTGTGTGTGTTTGTTTGTGTGTGTGTGTGAGTGTGAATTTCTAAAGATTGCCAAAGAACTGACCTAAGAAAACAAAAGCAAAAACAGCAAGTCATCTAGCCCTAAAGAAACTTTCACCAGTCAAAAATAAATAACTGCTGAAAGAGATGCTTACTGCAAACTTCTGAAAAATAGTATGCCCATATAGAGTAAGATCCTTGGAATACTTAGGGCTGCTACACATGATATTAAATACAGCTCTATTCCAAGAAAATAGCCCAGGTGTGGCCAAAGATCTGTGTATAAAGGAGCTGATTACAGCCTTACTGAAGTGGTAAATACACACACACACACA